CAAAAGTACGCATTTTTATGAATAGTCGCTTCATCAGAAAATAATATGAAATCGAAAAAATCATTTTCCTGATTGATCTTTTCTAAGCTCCGTCGGAAAAACTGAACACGTTTTTCAAAATCTCTTCCTCTTAACTCTCACATTAATTGCATGGATGAGATTTACTTGCTCATATCATTCGAGACACACTGGTTTGATAAAATCCTAATTTCCTGCTCAGATCTCGGGTACTCACATGGGGATTTTCAACAAGGTGAAGAGCAATTTGAAATGTATTCTCTTTATTTGTTACAGGGCAGACACGTTCGAACTTCTCGTGATTACCATTACCAATTCTTTCAAATCTTGCTTTTAGAGCCTGAAATGCCCTTCCATCTGGTTGTCTTCTTTCAGGGAACTTCTCTTTGTGAATCCTAGATGCAAGGAGGCAGTTTCCGTCACTTTCCCCCAAAGCATAGACAATTTGCACCATATCTTCCAATACATAATTCATAATGAAAATGATTCAGTCTACACGCGAAATAAACTCCAACACATGGCGTTATTGGGAAATTCCGAAATTCATTTTTTGATGTCCGTCATGGATAACTGGGTTTTTAAAGAAGAAAGCAGGATGAACATTCTTTATTTTTTACGCATTTCTAACCGTTGGAACCGCTGATAACTATCACTGAATGGCATGAAAAATGCTATTGTACTAGCGATTAGTTTGAATATTCGAAAAACAAATTTGAGTATGTGATCGTCAAAAAAGAAAATTTTTTGGGGTTACAACAATTACTAAAACTTGTTATGATTTGTTCAATATCAGTTCTTCGTATAGTATACTTCCGATTGAAAAATGTTGTGAAATGTTGAAACATTTCATAAAAATGAAAAAATACAGGGTGTTCCATTTGAAAAAGTTGAATTTTGTCTGTTTGAAAATTAATGTAACTTTACCGGTTTTACCGAGCAGCCTTTGTATCGTTTTCGAAAGTTGAGTTTCCAAAAATTATCATAGTAATGTTGATTAACTATTCCTAAAAAGAATCCACTCAATTGCTGTAGACATGCGGGTGGTGAATTAAAAAATATTGTCCACAAAATAGGATTTTCTGGAATAACTGGGCAATGCTGCAATGGAAATTCGAAATGAAAAACTTATTAGAGAGCTAAAAAAATATGGAATCGAATGACGTATTCATATACTGGGTGTTCTATTTGAAGAAATAGATCACCCAGTATATGAAAAAATAAAATTACTTCGGTTGGCCACGCTCGGCTGAATCACCCAGTATGCGAGAAATTAATCTAGTTCGAAAAATTGTTTCCTCTGATAGTAATGGTCCGAGAGAGTCTTGTTGACTCACCCTGTATAATATCAATTGTAATTTTCACCTTCAAATGTTTGTTAAATTTTTATACTTTCTATTGAATTATTAATAATGATAATTTCTACCGAAATGGTTGTGTCGGTTTGGCCCAGACACGTCCAGAGAGCCCGACAGCGTCGTCAACCAATGATCACTCTTTACCTGGTTGGTAAGTGATTATTGGGTCCAAGAATCATGGACCCTGAGTAGACACAATTAGCCATGAATGAAAGTCTTTTGAATTTTACCGATCAAGGTTTCTTCTGAATCACAGAAAACTGATAACATCCTGAGATTAGAGAAGAGGGAATCCACCATTCCACCAGAGACACAACAAATACAAAAACTATTTCAACAGAGTGGTCTATATCAGGGGTTCCCAACCGGTGGGACGCGTACCGCCAGTGGTACGCGGGAACGTTTCAGGTGGTACGCGTGAATGATGTGAGCAACATGCTGTTCATAGCAAACATGACTCAGCTCACGGGTCGCTAGAAAAACGAAATACCAATAACCCAGTGAACGACCTGACATCTTTGTTTTTCTATTACATTGGAATTTATAATTCCTAGGTAATTAAACAATAAAACACTTTAGGAATTTTACCTAGGAATCCCCAGATAGTACATATGGTAAACAAAGGGTGTTTCATTTTTTACCTGTGAGTTTTTAAAAGGGTCTTTTACTTTCACTTGGCATTACAGGTTCGTTGTGGGTGTTGTAATTATTAATTCCGATTTCGTTCAAGAAAACTGAACTATAAACTAAACTAAACTAAACTAAAAACCTAAATAACCGGTCAATCGTAAAAACGATGAAAGTTACTTACAGTACGGTTTTATAGTGAAGCCAGGGACTAAAACCAGTGACATTCCTATTCCTCAATGTGTTGTATGTTTTGAAACACTTTCAAACCAATCCATGAAACCTTCTTTACTGATGCGACACCAAAATACCAAGCATTTGAATGGCAGGCCCATTGAATTTTTTAAAAGAAAATCTAATTTTTTGAAAAAAGAAACCCAATGTTTGACGAAGTTTGTCAATACCGATACTAACTTGATGAAGGCGTCATACCTTGCTAGTTTAAAAATTGCAAAATATGGAAAGCCTCACACAATAGGTGAGACGCTTTTACTGCCGGCCGCTGTGGATATGGTTCAAGCCGTGTTAGG